GGGGAGGTGCTGATTTCAACCTCTGCAGCTCTGGCCCTTAGACATCAGGGATGCATCAGCTTTCAGCTTAGCTCATGCTGAGTTGCACCCCATGATCCTGAAGCCTTAAATGCCAGCTTGGCTTTCAGCAGAGGAAAGTCATCCTGCTCCAACACCAGGGCAGCCTCGTGCAGGATCGCTGCGAGCAGAATTTGCCCCAAACTGCTCTTTTCCTTTTGTGAACCCCTCCCATCTTCAGATCTGCTCCATTCCTCATGACCAGCAGGGCAGCCTGATCATCTGGAAGAGCAGGTCTCCAAGACGTGAACATTTTCCAGCACCATGGGGAAGCCCTGGGTCTGACACCTGTGTTTTTAATAAACTGGATGGTTGTGCTTGGCTGCCCTGTCTCCTGGAGGGGGAAAGGCAGTGGATGTGTACGGCTGCTCTGGCTGCAGCCCAGTGAACTGCTACAAAAGCCCATCAAATGTCAAGCTTTCCTTTAAGACCTGGAACTGTGAAGCATTTCTGGCAAAATCTACTGAGTAAAACGAATACGCTCCAATAAGCCTCTGATACCTGACAGCACTGGACAGCAAAGGGGGAAAAAAGTATTTAGATGATGACCTCAGGTCTTCAGCAGCATCTTCCTTTCTGGAGAAATCCAAGCCGTGATGGACCTGAAAGGGTCAGTCTGAGGCTGGCGGGCTGTGGGTACTGGTTTGGTGTCCATCCTTGGGGACAAGGACCCTCTAAAGTGCCTCTGATGTTGATGCTGTGACCCTGCTGGTGCCAAGCTGAAATTTGACTCTCTGTTTGTGAAGCGCCATAGAAATGTCAGGCTCTTGAGAAATACCAAGCCATGGCACTGCTTAGGGAAAGAAGGGGCTAGTGTTTGTGTGATTATTTATTTTCATTTGGTACTACTAAGACTGAAAAAAACCTAAAAGGACTATATTAAAAGCAATACCATTTGTTTGCATGATGTTTCAGCAGCAGAGAAGAGAATATAAAGTTCGTTTGCTGAAAGCAGTATGGGGATTGCACAGAAAAGGAGCAAGTGAGGTGACACCACCAACACCCATCGTTCCCTCCCTGCCATAAACCCTCAACTGGTCTTTATCTGTAGTTACACCAGAAGTCCCAGTAAGCCCATTTCTAACTAACTCCTTAGCAGATGCTCTCAGCCATAGCTCTGGTACTGCAAAATCACAAGCTGCAGGGAAAAAATAAAGCGGGTTAAAGCACAAGTGTGGCTAATCCCTCCAGAGGGAATCCTCACCTCTGATTTTGTCTGTGCTCTTGACAAAGAAAAGGAGAGCAGTGGTCCAGCTCTTCCTGGTGACTCTCTCAGGGCTGAGAATAACTATTTTTTGCTTGCAACCTGTAAATTAAAGTATAGAAAACCACAGATGACTCTGTTTTTAGATGGGTCAGAACCCTTAGTTGATGGAGGCTGGATACAGGCAAAGCCAGGGTTAAGCTTCATGCTCAGGTCCCTGCCTCAATCCAAGGGAGATGGGAGGAAGGACCTATTTGTTTGCACATTCTTGTGTGGACATCATGTCCAGTCACAGGATGCTGCTAAAGCTAATGAGACAGAAGGATTTCAGGCTGCAGGGCTGTTTTGCCAAGGGTAAGAACGGAAGACAGTGACAAAACATCAGCTGGTTAAAGGACCGTAGGTCTGGAGTCATTGCTGATGAGCTTGTCCCTGGTTTAGCAATCCCCTAAACACAGGCTCTCCCTCAAAGGATGGCCTTCCTACTAAGCCCTCCCCGCTGGAACCTGTGTTTGTCAAAGGGGTGTATTTTAGCTCTGGCCAGCACCAGGAGACAAACCTGTTTCTGAGTAGGAAGTCTGGCGTTTATTTTATGCCATCAAAGCCCATTTTGCACAGTCAGTTTTCATTCTGTGGTATAACATCAGACCTGGGCTCTGGGATTTAAACAGGACAACCTGAAAGACCTGGATGTCTAAAGTGTTTTGGCTGCTCTTAGTGGTAGTAGATCCAGACAGTTAAGGGGTTGGTGATTTATTTGCATTGCACATTTTTGGCTGATGATGCACGTAAACAAAGCATTAGCAACAACTTCTCTTACTGAGAAGAAACCAAGGCTGGGAGAGATCGAGTGATTTCAGTGATGACCCAGAGAAAGCGTAGAGTTGGCCAAGCACCACACTCAGGTCCCTCAACTGCCCTGCCAGTATCTAAAAGAAGGAAATAAGAGTTTTAAGGAAATACCAAAGAACTTGCATTTTGTGCTTGCAGTGAATCTCTGTTTCATCTAAAGATCTAGGAAAGGGAAAATATTAGCAGAGTGTTTTTGTCTTCTGCTGTGGCTGGAGCTCCCAGGTAGGTAAACATTAACATCATGTTCCTGTGGGCTTTTTACTAGCTGAAGGTCAAGTCCTCTGCACCGGGATACTAAGCAGAAAGTCCTGTGTTTAATATGAGGAAGATCTGCTTTCAAACAGGATTAAAGCCCAACTGTGAGTAAGCAAGCAAGAAAAATGTTTTCACTAGAATTATGTTTGTCCTGGGGTATGTGATTTTCATAAGGTTCAGCTCCAGGACCTGTGTTGCTCCTAAAATGAAGGCACCTTCTTCAAAATACATTACAGAGAGACACCACTCCTTATCTGACCTTTGGGCTTTCTGCAGTGGTTGAGAAGTATTGTTCTTACGTTAAATCCCCAAATCTTTCTTAATCCTTTGGCTGCCCATTTAGAACTGGCTCTGTCTTGAACTTTGTAAGGCAGACCTTGTCATGACTACTTGACCGTTGCTAATTGCTGTATTGTTTCTCCCTGGGCTCAATGGTTTCTTTCTAGGCAGTTGATTAAATCAGCTAAATTAATGTTGGTGGACAGCATGTGCTCTGGCAGGAACCAAACCACTGCATTAAACCAAATGAAAATAGTTTTATTTCTGCTCAATTCCACCTATGTCTGGCCAATTATATATTGTACAGACAGTGTCTGTACCCTGAAACTTTTGCTGTTAGGGTGTTAATCAACATAGTGGGTGTTATCAACATAGGATTCAAAAGACTATATGCGTTCAGGTTCTAAATGCAAATGACTGAAGACATGTTTCTGCTACTGAGATTTAAATAAAAAAACCCCAACACCAAACAAGAAAAACCCTGCCTGTCACTGCCACCTATGAACCAAGCTGAGGGGGATCACTTAGAAACAGCTGGGGTTCTTATTGTTCCATATGTTGTTGTGCAGTCTCATTTATTTTGTGTGTTATTTTCTGGATCAGCTTCTCTCTCTCCCCCTCCTGAAAATAGGGTTTTGTAGAGAAACTGCTAAAACTAAAATCTTAGTGTACACAGAATGATAATACAGAGGCATCTAACTCAAATTCTATTAACCCCAGAAGAGTCTTAGTGAAAACCTCAAGTCAAGGAAAAATTGATTTGGAAATAGATCCAGGAATAAATCTTTTAGTAGTGAGTGGGTTCCTTATAAAATCAGTGTGTATGCCCTCCTAAGGGGATCATATATACCTCATACAAAGCTGAATATCTGGATGCTTCATTTATTTATTACGGCCTCATTCTGACCTCAGTTTTATGGACATGAAGTGAATGAAATTACCAGGATGAAATCAGGCTATGACTTTGCATGTTTACTTTTGTCCTAAAGGAATACTTTGTCATGCCCCCCTCCCGCATATCAATGCCCACAGATACACAAATATATGCACGTGTTGTTTCTGAAGGCAGCTGATGGCATACATGATGAATTGCCCCGTGTCCGAAGCTCATGTGTAGAAGTTAAAACACTTTAAAACCCCTTTGTGGAAGCCTCATGGAAGAGCACAGTGGTTTCTTCTGACACTGATCTAAGGTCACTTTAGTTGTGGCTGCAAGAACTGCACATTTTTTTAAATAAATGAGTTGACTTCCCAGATTTCCCTGATCCAGAGGTACAGACATATCCTCTGTTTGCTCTGAAAATGCCTCTCTCATAATCACTGTGCCTGACACATGCTTTTCTTGTGAATGTTTGTCTGAACTCCCTCGTCAAAATACAGGAACTGAGCATTTCTTGTGTTTCATTAACTACTTTCTCTTCCAGAACAAATGCCCCCTGAAGTTTAGCAGAAAGCAAATGCTGCTGTTAAGAATCTCCATAGGGAGGAAACAAAACACTGACTATTGTTTCAGAACTGTGTTGTTTGATTTATACAAATATGCTCCTTTTACTGCTCCAGGATCAGCTGGGTGAGTAAACTGTCCCTGGTGAACGAGAAAGAGGACTGTAAGGTCTCCTCCATTTTTTAAAATTATTTCACCTCAAACCAATGAAGTATCAAATTTCAGGACTGACACTTATCAGACTGGCCCTTACAGCCAAGTGTTTCTTCTGGGACCTCTGTCGCCTGTGTCCTCCTTGTGTCTCACAGCATTTACACCATGAGTGCCGGGCACGGTCAGGAGAGGGGCTTTGCTCTCTTTCTGCAGTGTTTCAAGCACATCACTAACAAACAGGGTCAGGTATCTAGAGAAGTAATGTATTTCACTTGATCGCCCAATTAACTTCTATGTGGGTTTATAGTTCAGTTATTCACTTAGAAGATGCCACCTTCTCCTGAAACACATGACTTTTTTTTGGTGTCACCATGCCCCCCAGCAGCCACAGCAGGCCCTGCGGCCTCCCCCTTTGCAAACCCCCTTTGGCTTGCTTGGAAACGCTTCTCTTCACCTTCGCTAATCACCTATTCACTACCAGGGTGGCTTTTAATGCGTAGACGCAGCAGGCACCCATCAAAGCCAGTTTTGGCCAGACTTTAGCTCAAGCTAGGCGCGATGAGGGCTGGCTATCACCGTCCTGCGATGCCATCAGGTCTGTCACAGATCGACCCTCTCCCCCCGCCTCCCGCTCCAAGGACTACCATACCCACAATCCCCCGTGAGGTGCCTTCCGGCCCCGCCCCGCCAACTAGTCTTTGATTGGCTGTCGCCACGGGGGGGCCCTCCGTGCTGAGCCAATCCGTGCGCGGGGCTGCCCGCCGCTGTGCCGGGGTGAGCAGTGCTCAGGCGCCGCGCAGGGCCGCCCGCCCGCCGCGATCCGCCGGGCCGGTGTCATTGCCGAAGGGGACGATGTCTCACTGCAGCCGCGCCGCCGCCCGCCTCCTGGGCCGCTTCCTCCGCCGTGAGTACCGGGGCTGCCGGCATAACCCCCTCCTCCGCCTCACCGGGCCGCGGGGCCCTCCTCGCTGCCTGGCAACCGCTCTTCGCCGCGGCCTGCTCCTTCCGCGGCGCCCCTCCGCGCTAGGCCGCGGGGCCTGAGGCTGG